GCAACGCGGCCAATCGCCCCGTCTCCACCACCTCCGCCAAGACCCGCGTCAGCATACCTCGACACAAGCCCGCCGCCCGCCACGCATAGTCCGCACTCCCGAGCTCCCAAGGGAAGTACGTCCGCTTCCCCGACCCATCCTCCGTGTAAGGCGGCGGCCCCGCCACCCCTATCTCCATTTTGCCCCCCTCTGACGAGGAGCTCTTTAAGGCCAAGTGCCCCCTTGCTTGGGCTTCCAGGCTCTGGTGAAAGTGCTGGTGATGCCGGTGGCTTGTCCTCCCTCCTTCCCTCTCCCCCTCCCCTCGGTGTCCTCTGCCTCGACCATCCCGTGGCCTGGCCTCCGTCGGCTCCGGCAAGTTTTGCAAAAGCGCCATGATGGTGGGCCGATGCTCCCCCCTGTATCCCGCCTCACACACCACGTGCAAAGCGGTCTTCCCTTCTTTACAGGCGATCGAGGGGTCTGCCCCTTTCTCCAGAAGCAAGCGTACCAGCTCCGGCCAGGCAAAAAAGGAGGCCGCATACAAAGGGGTCCAGCCCCCCACGTTGTCGTGGTCATTCACGTCCACGCCCTTGGTGAGCAGGAACTCAGCCACCTGCCTGTGCCCGTTAATGCAACAAGCGTGCAGGGCGGTGTTTTGAAAATCGTCCGCATCCCGCCCTAGATTCGCCCCATTTTCCGCCAGATATTTGGCGAGTTCCAGATGATTGTTGTAGCAGGCGCGAAACAGAGGAGTCCAGCCGTCCTCCCCCTGAGACATAGACAGGAAGGAGAGCAAGCAGCAAGGTGACTCTCACGCACCCTCAGCACTAAGAAAAGAAACCCAGCCTCTTGCATCTACGATTTATCCTCTCTCTCCTATGCTGAGGGAATTCAACATTTCTTCCCACGATGTTTCGGGCGGATGATTTGTGGAACATATCTTGAGGTCCCCGTAATCGTATCATTAACTCACCTTGTCGTTCACAAGTTGTGGGTAATCCGCTAAGAGCTTGGCCACATCGTCGATCCGCCCTTTCTTAGCCGCGTCGTGAATCCGGTGACTCACCCGCCTCACGTCGTCCATGTTTCTTTCCTACCCTGAGTTCCCCAACCGAAGACATGCGATAAGTGAGAAGGCAGGCGAGGGGCATCGGAAGAGAAAACAAAGACATACTTGTCAGGCTTCGAGCGTATCAGGAAAAAAGTCCGCTTGACACTCAAAGGAATAGACAATTACAAAAGTTGCAAATAAAGAGAGAAAAACATAGCAATTAAATGTCGTAAAGACGGAGGTGCTTGGCAGCACATTTTTCTCAATCCAGTTTACATCAGGATAGAAGGTTGAAAATGGTATCTAGCACCCATTACAAAGTTGTAGCTCAATCAGTACACAATTTCATTTACAAAGTACGTCAAGGTAACGATAATTACACTTTGCGGGGATGTTGTGGGGGTTAACGAGACTTGTGGGGACTAGCACTACGGTCGGAGAAATTACTGCCGCCCAGCATGTTTTTGATCCTTCTAACAGGAATCACGAATCCCCTCGTCCCTCACGGACGTCTGCACATCGACAAAGTCGGTCTTTGAGAATCAAAAAGCGGTTAGAATTATTCTTATGCGTTCGATAGATTTTTTAAAAGTATTCGTGTGGCCAAAAAAATGGTATAAATAGACCGCAGGTCGCTAACGAGGCAAGTACCCCGAGCGACTAGGCTACTCGGCTCTTGTCCAGAAGGAGATCACGCGACTTGCGAAGGAACGACGATCCGCACGGGGTACGAGGGATACAAAACTATAAAGAAAGCAATTTACTTGGCAGGGCATGCTATCGCATTTTTATAAAGCAAGTTTTTGCGGGCAGCAGGCACAAAGTGCCTTGAAGTTCACCACCAACCTCCCCCTCAAGCCCGCGCGTTCGACTATACGACCGATAAACTTATTCTGAGGTACATACACAGCATGCGGCCCGCACGAGACCTTGGCAATAAGAGTGAACATAAGGTTCATCACGATTATTCCGTTTCACTCGTGAAAAATTCGTGCCGCCTTCACTTGTCATCTTCCTAAACCTCCCTCTCTTTTCAGCACAGGATGGCGACTCAAAAACCACAACCAGCAACGAGAGAAAAAGAAAACGAAGATGACATTTACCTACAGCAAGCTTTAGAGGAGGCAAAAGTAGGTTTGAATGAAGGCGGGATCCCCATTGGAGCCGTCCTCGTCCATGAAGGAACAGACGGGGTTCGTCATGTACTAGGGATGGGCCACAACCAAAGGGTGCAGAAGAAGTCTCCGGTCCTTCACGGGGAAATGGACTGCCTTGAAAATGCTGGCCGATGCCCAGCGTCTGTGTACCGGAAATGCACCATGTACACAACCTTATCTCCTTGCTCCATGTGCAGCGGGGCGATACTCTTGTTTGGGATTCCTCGTGTCGTTGTGGGAGAGAATCAGACATTTCTGGGCGCAGAGGAGCATTTAAGGGCGAATGGAGTTGAGGTCATTGTGGCACAGGATGCATCGTGCGTGGCTATCATGAAGGAGTTCGTGCGAGAGCACAAACTGTTGTGGGAGGAGGATATTGGTGAGCCCTCAGAGTGAGGCCAAGCGGCTGGGTGTCTAGAAAAGTTGCTTGGCGAAGGAGAGTGGAGGAGTGTAAGGAGATAATTACCGCTTTACTAAAACACTTTGCTTTGTGATGCTGACATTGTTCCGGGTGGATTTAGTTCGTATCATTTTTGTTAAGTTATGTTTATTGCCCCCACCATTGAGACTCCTGCCGGCGCCTTGTGGCTGTTACCTCTCGTCATATGTCATTGAAATGAGCTGCATAAACTCACGCCCCCCGCTCAAACATCAAACCCATGCGCACGAAGGCCATCAAGTCTCCTTCTACTGATGCTTGACCCGATGCCACCGCCACGGCAGGGGAGATCTGCTTGAGGGCAATTTTACGAAACACCGCTTCGCTTGTGTTAAAAACTCCGACCGGCTCTGGTGTCCCAGGTAACGCTTCGCGACCTAGTATGATCTCACAAATTCCCCGACGAATGGTGATGAAATACTGGTGGGAGCCGATTACGTAGATGGCACACATGTGCACGTCCATGCAACGTTCTGGAACCAGCCTGACCACCATCACCTCCAGGAGCAAAGGAATGGGAATGGCCTCGATGAATGCCGCACCAAGCACAGGATCGCTCAGAGGGGCTTTGTCCTCCAATTCAAGGGCTCTCTGAAGCAGGTATCCTCTCCCATTGGTATTTATCACACTCTCACCGAGCCCCCGTAATGCTGCGACCTGCAAGGCTTTCACCCGCTTCCTCTCCCCCCCGCTGAGCCCCTCGGCCCAGCCATCCTGTACCAATCTTATCAAATACAGTGCCCACTTAAATTCTGCTTCCTTTCCCATCTCCTCCCCCCCCCTGAGAGCTGCTTCTGCTTTCTTCAGCACCGCATCCAGGCCTCCCCCCATCTCCACCACCCTCCGGGCCTGCTCTTCGACCGGCAACGGGTAAAGAGCCTGCGCCGTGCCATCAAACCAGCCGAGCTCGTTCGTATAGGCAGCCCGAACCGACCAGTCGATTTGTCCGTACAGCTCGTCCAGGGCCGTCTGTGCCCGCAGATGGGGAGGAAGGGCGACTCCTTCGGCCAAGGCCTCCAAGGTCTTCCCCGCGTTCGCGCCCCGCACCGTGGCCGTGTAGACCCATTGAATCCCGTCCCGGTAGTCGGTCAATTGTCGGTTGATCAGATCTTTGCCCACCACAGGCTGCGTGTGGGAGGGGAGAAGGAAAGCGGGCCGGAGCCTGCGCATGCGGTCCAGGCTCCGAATCCAGTCGCGCAAAGGCCGGGGGCTCGACCCTCGGATGGAGTACAGGTTGGGGAAAGAGTGGTAGTACAGGTCTGCGCAGAGCAAGGCATCCTTACCCGGGAGCCAGACGAAGAGGTGGTCGTGCGTTTCCCCATGCGCCTCGACCAGTTCGAAGTCCACGCCGCCCACGGAGAACGAGACGTTCCCCGAGAACGTGTGGGTCGGGATGAGAAAGGCCATCGTCTTTAAGGTAAGTTCAATGTCGGCTTTGCGGCCCAAGCCCGAGCAAGGTAGAATACTGAGAGGGACGTGGTTTCCGAACTGGCGAGAGGCCCGGAGGGCCTCAGCTTGCCTGGAAGGTTCAGGAAGCGTGTGGAGGAGGGGGGGAGAAAAAGGGCGGGTAAGCTTGTCGCCGGACGCTCCGATCTGATAAATAATAGTAGCACGCCATCTCAGCCCCTTCTTCAGCTCAGCTTCTCCCTTTTTCCGGCCCAATTATCACCTGAAAGCGCCGTACTGCTTGAAAAAATGCCCTGTGAGAGCCTCCGTGCCCCAGATCTCTGTCCCGACCTCCGCCCAGGCATCCGCGCCCCCGACGTGATCCACATGGCTGTGCGTGTAGATGATAGCTCGAATAGAAGCCTTCCCCGCTGCGGCTTCCAAATCCTGTCGAACCCGTGTTGCCCGCTCAGGGTTCATGCTCACATCAACCTGTCCGCCGGGAGGAGGGAAACGGGATAGGCAGATGAAAGCTTGGCCGTGTAGACTGACCGGCATGCCGGCGCATAGTGACCGTGCTGAGCCTTTTGGGCATTCACACTGCTAGAGCTGCCGTCCTTGGTCAGGCTTGCACTCACCACCACGTGCCCCTCGTTCGTTCGGATTAAGATTGTATTGGCCAGGTCGTAGCCGGTCGCGATGAAGACGCCCTCGGTCACCTCCGCAATGCGTGGCTGGCCCACTTGCTCTTGACAATGGCGTGTCAATCGCGAGGGGTTCAAAGTGGTTTTGTGCATATCTATCGGTCGTGCGTGCGGCAAGATATAGACCCACACGTATGTTCCTATAAGAATCGTGGCTAGAAGAAGGAGACAGACGGCGCGACCAATCCTCCGAGCCCTCGTTTCCTTCCCAGCGTCGCTTGAAGGCTCATTTATAGAAGTAAAAGGCGTAAACGGGACCTTAGATGATGCTCTGCCCCAAGGGTTGGGCAGGTGCGAATCTGACGCCTCGAGATTGCGAACTCCTTTGCTGGCACGTATTCTTGTCGTTCTTCCCCTCTTGTCATCCCATGATTCATCCTGTCCTTCTTGCACGTCCTTGATCGATAATTTCTCCGCGTTACTATCCCTACAGCCTTTTTTGTGCGATTGTCGACGGGTGACGGCCATGACCGTAAGCAGTCGAAGTTCGAGCCTTCAACGTGCTTGTAATGGCCGTTGGCGCCTAAGGCAGGGGAAAGAAATCGGTGCGGATGTGAGCAAAAACAAGATGAAGCTGAAGATGGCCTGTCAAAAACAAATTATCCAATAATATACAGGGGCCTTGCATGGGATGGAAATAATACCAGCAGGCGTCAGTAAGGCGGGGGAGTTGAACAGGCAACCTCCTCCCTCAGACTAGACCACAGAGCAGGAAAATGAGGCAGTCAACAAGCTTGCCACCGAGACGCAAGGACGTCGATGCGCACATTTTCGAAAAAAATACAACGCTGTACGTGCTGCGTAGTTTCCTTATACCTTGCTTGCACGTCGTATGTGAGCATGTGGACGTGCCCAGAGAGCACGCAACTCGTGACAAGCTCCCGTGCTATGGTGTCGGAATGTACCATAATTAGTAGGGCGAGAGTTGTTCGAGGAAAATATATCGGTATTCGATATTTTTGAAACCACCCGGAAAGTACATAGAACAGTCCACTTCGATTTGCGTTCTTTTTCCTCTTTGATTTGCAAGGGGCTTTCCAGCGATCCCTGAACGCTTTACTTTATCTCTTAAAATGAGTATATCCAAAACTGCGCTTCTGGTAGCATATAGCGCACTACTATGTACGTCTACTTTCTTCCTAGTTCCAAGATTTATTTGAGAATTCGACCTACCGTCATGCTTCAAACCTGACTCAATCAAGACATGGCCAATCTTTGCACTAGCGCACTTTGCTGCACGTCTACTGTTTTCCTCATCCAGTAATGCCCGACTCGATTAAGACAATCTCAATCTCTGCGCTCCGCGCGCCCCGCGCAAGGCAGTTATGGTGGACATGCTCTGATGTTGCAACATCCAGATTTCACTATCTGCACAACCCTCGCTCTCTCCCGATCATGAGCGACACGCCAACTCCTTTCTCTCTACCATCGTCCACGTCCTCCTCCTCCCCCCCGGCCTCGCCCTCGTCCTCCAAAGCCCCCTCCTCGGCCGCGCCCACCAAACCCTCCTCCCCTCCCTCGGCCGCCAAAGCCACTCCCAGCCCTCCCACCGAACCCGCTTCCCCTCCCTCCCATGGAGAAGCCGCCTCCCCCAACCCCCCTCGGTTGCTTGATCTCCGGAAGCGTCTTGCAGACCGTCAAAAACGGGTTCTCCTCCACAGCCCTTTTCATGGAAGTTTTCATGTACTTGCTCGGCACGTCAAACACGGCACCCGTATTGTCTGCGGTCAGCTGCATACCCCGGATGTCCTCCGTCACCTCCTGGGGCAGTGCGTTGCGCAGCGCGGTCCATACGTAACCCGTACTCATAATGGGCTGATCGGCCTGGAACTGGCAAGTCACGTAGTCGTCCGAGTTGGAAAGGAGGGAGCGGGATCGGAGCTCCTTGGTGTGGCCCGTGAGGCAGGCCAAGGCCGCGGCCAAGGCCTCTTCCGCCCCCATCTCCTCCACAAGCTTGGCGGCCGCCGCTTGAAACAGCGGAAAGACCTTATCGTCCACGTTGGCCACGTCCTCCATGGCGGCCAGGGCCGAGGCCGCCACGATGTCGGCGGGCTGGGGCGCACCGGCCCATTCGAACTTGTTCCCCACCGCACCCTCGATCTCCTTGACGGCGAACCGGTACTTGGGGGAGAAGAGCGTGACACAGATCCCTTTGCGGCCGGCCCGGCCTGTCCGTCCCGACCGGTGCACGTAGGTTTCCACATCCGTGCGGCCGGAGGCGGTGACCGGCGGTTTGTTCTGCACCACCAGGTCCACGGTCATGTCCAGGCCCCTGGCAGCCACGTCGGTGGCCACCAGGACGCGGACCCGCCCCTCCCGAAAGGCCTTGAGGGTGGTCTCGCGCTGGGCCTGGGGGATGTCCCCGTGCAAAGCCGCGCATTCGGTCTTGATCACCGGGTTCACTACCAGCTCGTTGCACTCCTTCTTGGTCTCGCAAAAGACGATGGTCCGAGCCTTGTTGCTGCCCCCGTACACGGCCAGGCAGTCTGCTACGGTGGAGGGCATGGAGGACCAGTGGCAGGGGATGGCCACGTGGCGCACGTCCGTGGAAGCCTTGGCGTCCTCTCCCTGCACCAGGTCCACTTGCACCAGCTTGTCCTTGCGCATGTACTGCTGTGCCACCTTCTGGACCCAGGGTGGAAGGGTGGCGGAGAAGAGCAGGACTTGCCGACGCTGGTGGCTGTCTTGGCCCATGGCGTCACATACTTTCTGGATGTCGTCTTTGAAGCCCATGTCGAGCATGGAGTCCGCCTCGTCCAGGATCAGGAAACGCAGCCCCGAGAGCTTGAGCGTGCCCCGCTCGATGTGATCCAGGATGCGTCCTGGCGTTCCCACTACTACTTGAACTCCACGCCGCAATGCTTCTTCTTGCGGGCGGTACGGAGCCCCGCCGTAGATGCACACGGAGCGCAGGGTCGCCGGCGCACATGCTTCGAATTCATCCGCCACCTGCTTGGCCAATTCCCTCGTCGGCGCCAACACCAGGACTTTAGGCGGTGCTCCTCGCTCCTCCCGCTCATCTCCGATTAGTTCCACCACAGGCAAGGCGAATGCCAGCGTCTTCCCGCATCCCGTCCGCGCCCGGCCGATGAGATCGCAGCCATCCAGAATCTTTTGCAACGTCATGCTTTGGATCGGGAAAAGGGACTTGATGCCCCGTGCCTCCAACCGCGTGCGTGTTGCCTGAGAGATCTTGAAATTGGACAAGGCGTTCGGGTCCGCATCCGCCGTTTCGGAGGCTTGTGTCTTACATTTCTTGGTCTTCTTGGCGCTGTCCTTGACTGCAGCATCACTTTCCTCCGGCTTGGCACGTTTCTTTTTTTTCTTCTCGCCCCCCGCCCCGTCAGCCCCTTCCTGGGAACCCTTAATTTTGCGTTTCTTGTTTGGGCTGTCCTCTTCCACCACGGACGCCGACTGCGCGGACGAGTCAGTCAGTGCCTCCTCTTCAGCCACACCGTTCTTCTTTTTTCTGCTGCTCTTGTCTTTTTTGCTGGTGGTGACAATGACGGCGTCCGTGGTGTCCATGGCGTTTTCGGCCAGAGATATCTTATCCTTCTTGACCATGCTATTCTTGCAGGCTTTTATTTCTGTGCGGGGCGGGGAGTGCGTACGCAAAGGGTGGAGAATCCGGGCCATGCGTCCCGTTAGATACTGCTCGTCGACGACGGTGTACGGATGGTTGGAGCGCAACATACACGGCCAAATTTCCAGTTTGACACCCCACAAGTGATAACAACATCGGTCATACCATCTTTACTGTCATGCATCAGTCATTTGTTCCCTCTTCTTCCCCCCACAGGCCTCGCCGTGGGTAAAAAAATTCCCTGAAGCGTGCATACGCCGCCCCTCCGCGTGGGCCACTGGCTCGTCACGGCCTCTCTCGCCCCTCGCCAGGAGGTGGGCGGATCGGATCGGGGGCCCAGGGGAAGGCGAGTGGACGGATCGGATCGAGGACCTCGACCCAGGGCCCCTGGCAGGCCTGTTCCTTGAATATGTCTGCAACTTGCGCGGCCTTCCTGGGTGGACGCGACTCCATTTTGACGGAAAATGCATGCCGTGACCATTGGAAACTTTGTTTAATGCGATTTCTTACGATCGAGCCTGGTGTTTCAACATTTCCATGTGCTGTTGTTACCTTTCCCTTCTTGCCCATTTCATACCATCGTCAATATTTAGGCCGCTACCCGTCTGATCCCGAGCATTCAAACCCTAATTGATCTACTTTTTCGGGACAGGTATGAGCACAAAGGATGAATGGGAAGAAGTCGTCGACCCGGCCACCCAAAAAACATTTTATGTGAATCATCGGACTCAGGAGACCCGTTGGCACAAGCCAAATGCAGCCATGCCCCTGCCCGCAGGGTGGGAGGAAGCGCGCGACGCCGAGGGCCGCATTTACTACATTGACCACGCCACTCGCTCAACATCATGGACTGATCCCCGGCGACGCACCAACAGCGGTGGGGGTGACGTAGGGATGTCTCCACGGCCGCCACCAACCGCCTCTTCCTCCGCCTCGGGTCCGTCGCGACGGGACCACCACCGGCACCGGAGCACGGGGTCTGCCGCGTATAACGAGGACCCTTCTCCGCCTATCGGCACAAGCGTTTCTTCCTCCAGCTCCTCTCCCCACGCCACTAGCGAACGGCGCCACTCCCTCCCCCGTTTGCCCGCCCTCCTGAACCAGAACCTTCCGTCCTTCACCACGCTCCGTGGCGGCATAGAGAACGGGGCGGGTACGCTGGGTTTGGTAGGCAATAGTGGTTTGGCCATGCCCCCAGCAAATCTGGCCGAATTCCAAACATACGATTTGAGCAGCATGAAGGCTTTGAAAGAGGACGAGGTGGACCCATTCTACGTGCCAGATTCCATGCGCTCCGGCTGCTTCCTGTGTCAGGTCAAGTTCCAGCTCGTCGTCCGCGGCCGGCACCATTGCCGCTGCTGCGGGGAGATCGTCTGCGACAAATGCTCGCAGGGCAAACTGGCGCTCCCGCGGGAGCACGAGTCTTTCAAGAAGGGAGCCGGGGGGGAGCTCGGGCACCGTGTTTGCGACCATTGCCACGCCCATGTCGCCACCCACGGGAATTTCCGGTGCATGGTCCGGTACGTGACTACCCTGAGGGCAGGCAAGGAAGCGAGCACGGCCGCCCAGCGCTACGTGGCCCTTCGGCTTCTGGTGGAGGCCCTTGAGCCGAGCACGCACTGGAAAGGCGACGTGAACCTCGGGAACGACGCCGCCCAGAAAGCTGCCGATTTGGAGACCAGTGGGGGCGCGCCGGCTATCTGCCAAGCCCTGGCGCCTCTCTTGGACGCAGCGACCGCCCCACTGCCGGTTCAGGAGATGGCGTTGATTGCCCTCGGTCATGTCCTGACCCTGACCGCGCAGCAGCCGGCGCTCAAGTCCTCCTATGCGGCCCACTTGGCCAACGAATCTCCGGGTATCCTGCCCCGGGTCCTGGACGCCCTGGACGAACCCGCTTTACAGGAGCACGCGGCCCGCGTCATCTACTACGCGGCCTCGGAGCCCGTCTGTCAGAAGACGCTCCGGCAGGCCTCGGCCTGGCCCCGGGTCTTGGACCTGCTGACGAGCCCCACCGAGGGCGTCCAGCGGTGGGTGGCGGCCTCCGTGCGCCCCCTGGTGGCGGGGAACCGGGCACTGCTCGACTACTTGCTCACGAGCGGGGCCCTCTTCGTCCTGGGATCCTTGCTGTGCTCGGATCTGCCGGACGTGCAGGCGCACGCCCTGTCCGCCATCTCCGCGGTGATCCGGACGGCCTCCACGGTGGAGGGTGAGGAGGAGGAGGAGGGGGAGGAGGAGGAGGAGGAGGAAGGGACGGAGAGCCAGGGGTACCGGGGGTCCGGGAAGGAGGACACGCTGGCCGTGACGCAAGTGATCACCATGGTGGCGGACGCGGGGGCCATGGGGGCCGTGGTCCAGTCCATCGCCTCCCACGACCTCCGGGTAGCCACGCAGG